TCCATCTAGTGTTGATATTATGCTATAATTTAGGAATGATGTGTTTGTTAAGCATAAGTACCAACACTAGTTGATCCTATTGATGACAAAATTGATTTTCTTGCAAGATCGATATGTGTCCATCTAGTGTTGACACGTAGCTTTAAATTTAGAAATAATATATTTGTTAAGCATAAGTACCAACACTAGTTGATCCTATTGATGACAAAATTGATTTTCTTACAAGATCGATTTGTGTCCATCTAGTGTTGACACTTAGCTTTAAATAAGTTAAAATAAATAGTATGGTTTAGTTAGTGAATTTAGTTGTTGGAATTAAGTCAAAACTAATGTAGTTAAAGTTAAAAAGTTGTTAAGTTGTTTAAATAAGTTAAACTAAATATGTCAAAACTAGTTAGACTTAGAAAGTTGTTAAGTTGTTTAAATAAGTTCAAATGTTATTTAGCTATTGGAATTAAAAATATCATTATTGTTTGTATAGATGGATCCTGATCGTAGTTGGATGTATAATAGAAACAATCATGGTCGAGCGGGTATGATTCCGGAAAGAGAGACAATATCTACAATGGAGAGTAAGATAACTTTGATGGCGGGGATAGAGAGACAATATCATCATCCTCAAGCTTCGATGGCGGGGATAGAGAGACAATATCTGTAATAGAGAGTAAGATAACTTATCTCGATGTCGAGCTTGTTGTTGTAGCCGAAAGAGAGAAAAAAGAGAAGAAAGAGAGAAAAAGAGATAAGAAAGAGAGATAAAGAGAGAGGCGGAGATTGCGGCAGCAAAGGAGGTAGAGAACAAGAGGTATGCAACGCTTCAGGCCCAACTAACTTTTCTTTTTGAATCAGAAAATATTCTTCCTCCATGTCCGCCCAGCAGTGATGGATCTGATCATGAGGGTGATAAGAATGATAAGTCTGATAAGGAGAGTGAGGGTGATGAGGAGTAGTTGTATCTATTTGACATTTTAGACTTCTATATTTTTGGAATTGTTTGATCGTATTTTAGTTTATTTTGAAATAGTTTAATGTATATGTTGAAAATATTGTGTTGTTTTGGTTGAATGAAGTTTATTTGGAATTCTTTGGGTTGTTTTGGTATAAATATGCAGGTGGGCAACTAAAATTGCAGCAATTTGCTGCCAGTTTTGTAGCAGAAAATCGACCTCCAGAGGCCAGAATCTCAAAAATAAAAAATAAAAATACCAACCTCCGGAGGTCAGAATTTTAAAAATAATAAATAAAAATACCGACCTCCGGAGGTCAGAATTCCAAAAATAAAAAAATAAAAACACCGACCTCCGGAGGTCAAAATTTCAAAAATACAAAAATTAAAATACCGACCTCCGGAGGTCAGAATCTCAAAAATGAAAAATAAAAATACCAACCTCCAGAGGTCGGAATTTAGAAATTAAGAAAAAATAAAATTAAAATATACCGACTTCCAGAAGTCGAAAATATTAAAAATTAAAAAAAAATTAACAAATACCGACATTCGAATGTCGGTATTCCAAAATATGTGAAATAAATATTTTGACCTCAGGAAGTCAGAAATAATAAAAATAAAAAATAAACAAATATATAAAAGTGACCTCAGGAAGTCGGAAAATAAAATAATGAATTTTCCAACTTAAAATAAAAACTGACCTCGAGAGGTTAGTAAATACCGACCTCCAGAGGTCGGTATTGAATAACGACCAAGCTTTTTCCGACCTAAGCTGGGATGTCGGGTTTAGGTCGATATTTCAGGGAATATCGACCTCCGGAGGTCGATATTTGTAAGTCAGTATTCACTATTTTTTTAGTAGTGTAATCCTAAGGAGGAAACAACGCTAGTTGTGGTTTGAATTTCTTTACCGAACTTATCTCCAGATTTGTTTGCAAAGAAGTCTCTACTGTTTATAGCATCGGCAGTTGGGAAACCAATAGTTATAGATAAAGCTACTCAAATCAAGTCAAGACCTAGCACAGCTAGGGTCAAGGTTATACTTGATCTAATGGAAAAGCTTTCAAATCGTATAAGATTGCAGTTAGTGGATGGAAAATCTAGTAAGTTGATCGAGGTTTTTCAGGAGATTGTATATGATAATCTACCTTTGTATTGCAATTATTGTAAGCACCAAGGTCATGATGAAGATAGTTGTTATTTGATCTCGAAAAGAAATCAAAATAACAAACAAATTGATGACATCATTGAAGTTGCTTCAAAAGGTACTATCGATAGTGAAAAGTATCAAGGTGATGCGAGAAAAATACTAAATGAAAAAAGAAAGGTTGTAGATGTCGATCAAAATAAAGCTACTTCTTTAGATCGACAGTTGGTTGTTGTCACTTCTGAGCAAAATCGTGCACACTCAATGGATGTTGTTACAAGTAATATTGGTGTTCAAACAACTACCGAATACAAAGGGGGAACGCCAAGAGTTGGGGTGGATGCGCCGCAAGTTGGTTTAGGCCAAAAAATAATGGATTCAAGACACAAACTAATGGATACATCTGATGTTGAAGATGCTGAAAATTCTGGGCAGCATGTTTTGCAAGTTGAAACCAAGAATGCAACTAAAAATTGGCACACAAAAATTCAACTAGTAACCAGAGCCTTTCCCCGACAAGTCAAAATAATTCTCCATGTAGTGAAAAGGGTGCGACTGGAAGTTTTCATGACAGTGAGAAGAGGCAAGATATTAGTAATGCCTCAAGAGACCTATTATGTTCGAATAGCTTTGATGCTTTATCGAAGACCATTGGAAAGCAAGTAAAGTTAACAGAGAATGACAACGATTTGATCCAAGAAAAACATGTCTCACCACCTACTTTGAATAGAAGATTAAGTCCAGAAGCTCCTGTATTTGTGCCTAAATATGTGATTGCAAAGAAGAATGAGTCAAGGTCCTTAGTGTCAAATACAATTGATTTGGGTGAGGATTCTCTTGATGAAGATAAGGAAGACAATATGCTTGATTTGGGCGAGGATTCTCTTGATGAAGATGAGGAAGATATGCTGGACATATGCTTTGATAGAGTGGCTAGGGAAGGAGATATATCACCTAGGCAGCAAAGAAGTGGAAGCAACAAAAGCAAAAAGAAGACACATGGAAGGCAACATAGTTGGGACGGTAAAATGACTGAGGAGTTTGTTCCAAGGCACCTACCGATGCAACAGGCAAAGCAGAACCATTTTACAGTAGCAATAGGTTCAACAAGATCCAATAAATCCATAAAAAAAAAGTATGAATTATCAAGTGTTGTTGGATAGGTTTGAAGAAGAAGACAAGAGAAAAATACTTCAAGTTACTTTTGATGGGCAATCAATCTTTTTTAATTCATGTGTTTATAATAGAAAGTTTGAGGCAGATAACTCAACTTTCTTCTTGATTAACATAGTTTTACATTATTTAAGCATTCTCATTTGTAATATCATTATGGAGTGTATTACAAACACTGTGGTGATTAGAAAATACTTAGTTCTCTCCAGCTCTTATTTTCTTCATGCTTGTTAGGTAATAGACATTAGTATTAGGATTAGTAAGATAAGGATTAGGTCCCCTTGCTTGCACTTATCCCTATTGATATTTTTTATGTTTAACAAAAGGCCACTAAAAAATAAAAAGGTATTCAAAAATAAGTATTTGGTGAATGGATGTTTTGAGTCATTTTAAACTTATTTTAAGTTATTTTTAACCTTGTCAAACACTTACTAACTTATGTTAAATCTTTTTTTTTGGACTTATTTTAAGTTATTTTTATATTTGTCAAACAATTCTAGAAGTAAAAAACTGACTTGAATATAGGTTTGACCAACTTTTGAGTCAATTCAAACACCTTTGTAATCTAATTCAACTTTGAAAATTAGTCAGAATTGACTTTTGAAAGCACAACATGACAAATAAAAGTTGACAGAGAGAGTTAAAACTTCACACAGTATATATATATATATATATATATATAACACATTAAATTCCTTATAGGGGAAGGAAAAAGGAAACATAAAGTAATGGAGATTCTTGCTTACTATTTCTTAGCCTTATTTTTATTAGCAATTACTTTTGTAATATATTCATGGAGGTTGTTGGACTGGGCATGGTTTAGGCCAAGGAAATTGGAGAAATGCCTTAGAAAACAAGGTCTCAAAGGGAACTCTTACAAATTGATTTTTGGAGACATCAAAGAGCAGTCTAAAAGCATTGAAGATGCTGAGTCCAAACCATTGAATGTCTCTGATGATGACTTAGCACCCAGAATTCTCCCTTATTTCGTTCAAACAATCAAGAAATACGGTAATTTTTTGTTTTCTTTTCATCTGTTTAGGCTTTGATTAGTTCGAATTCACATACGGAGTGAAGTGTACTTTATTTCAAAGCGTGAACTCGATATCTTTGATTAAGCTCTTGTTTGACCATAGATTGTTTGAAGTTGAAGCTTGAGAATTGAGTTTTTGAAGTAATGATTTTTTGAACTTAAAGTTGTTTTACTTGGAAATTTTTGAAGTTTTGTGAGTGAAAGTGAAATTTTTCCACCAGTTTTTGGAACTTGGAGATAGATTTTCAAAGTTTGTTTCAAATCTATGGTCAAACAGATATTTGAAGATAATTTTTCAAAAGTTTTGATCCAAAATCTATGACCAAACACGAGGTAAGGATAGAGGGGAGCTTACCCGCCCATAACAACATGATCCAATGACTCGGCTATAGTATCAAGTACTAGTTCGGACAAACTAGTTACTTTTGCTTGGACCATATATTTATAATAGGAAATTTATTAAATATGCATACATATTTATTTTCAAATCCAACAGGTATAACGAGAATCTAGCTATAAATTTCAAATTCTAACTCTGCATCTTTCTATACTTATGGAAAGTAAGAAATGTTGAGCTAAGAATTTTGGATTTGCAATATTTTACAGGTAAAAACTGTTTTATATGGATTGGGCCAAAGCCTTTGGTATTTGTAGGGGACCCTGAGATAATAAAGGATGTATTTAACAAGCATACTCTCTATCAAAAGCAAAAATCAACTCCCCTGACCAAGTTGCTGGCACAAGGAATTGTAAGCTATGAAGAGGCCAAATGGGCAAAGCACAGGAAAATTCTCAATCCTGCTTTCCATTTGGAGAAGATAAAGGTATTTTTTTCATCCCTCTCCCTCCCAAAAGCATACTATATTCTCATGCAGGGGCGAAGCTAGGGGGGCAGAAGGGGTTCATTTGAATCCCCTTTGTTGAATGCTAAATTTGTTTATTTTTACTTACGTATGTATAATAGATGTTGAATTCCCTTGGTTTCTCGGTCTGCTCAATTATTAACATTTTAAGCTTTTAAATAAGATAGTCACACAATGCAACAAAAAACTCATCTCCATGACAGTATAAACAAAAATTACTTCGCTTGTATTGATCATCACAAATTCACGATATCATTTTCCCCCCTAGAAGCTCCCCTCCTTTTTGCTCCTTTTGTGACTTGACCCACAATCATATTGTCCGAGCTACTCTCCATTTATCACAAATTCATGATATTGACTCTGCTTTCATTCTGTTTTCTCTCTTATCTTGCAAATATGGACTAAAGCTTTTTGAGGAGATGATATTTTTACAAGATCTGGTTGATTTAACTTGTATTAATGAATGGTTTACAAATTTGTAGGATATGCTTCAAGTAGTTTATTTGAGCTGCAGTGAAATGGTGAGCCAATGGGAGGAGGCTGTCTCAATGAAAGAATCGTCCACTGAACTCGATATATGGCCTTACCTTCAAAGATTGACTAGTGATGTAATTTCTCGCACAGCCTTTGGGAGCAACTATGAAGAAGGTCGAAAGATATTTGAGCTTCAAAAAGAACAAGCTGAGCATGTCAATGAAGTTTTTCGCACCTTATACATTCCGGGATCGAGGTAATACGACGTCGTTTTTCCATAGTTTAAGTTATGTATTACAAAGTTCATCACTAATCAGTTGCTAAATGGTCCCTAGCTAGCTAACATATTTTTAAGTAATGGTTGCTAATCCGTCTTTAAATAGGATCATCGACAAGTTTTTTGTGGATGTTGTACACAGCTAATTCCTATGTTTCTATAGTGCCTGCACTGACAAGTTAAAAATACATTGATAAAGTAAAACTCTTTACACGTGTATATAACTTAAACCCTTCTTTCCCATATCTATATCCGAATATAACAGGAAAAGAAGTTTATAATAGTGATAATATGATGATGATATACATCTTTTTGTGTGTTAAACTAATGTAGGTTTTTGCCAACCAAGAGAAATAGAAGGATGAAGGAGATTGAGAGAGAAGTTCAAGCAACAATTAGGGGAATTATTGATAAAAGAGTGAAGGGAATGAAAGCAGGGAAGGCCAATACTGATGACTTATTAGGCATATTGTTGGAATCCAACTTTAAAGAAATCGAGCAACACGGTAATAAAAATTTTGGTATGACTATAAAAGAGGTTATTGAGGAGTGTAAGGTTTTCTATTTTGCTGGACAAGAGACAACCTCTGTATTGCTTGTATGGACTATGATTTTGTTAAGCAGGCATCCAGACTGGCAAGTTCGCGCTAGAGAAGAGGTTTTGCAAGTCTTTGGAAATGGCATGCCAGAATTTGATGGATTAAATCGCTTGAAAGTTGTAAGTTATTTTGGCTTCTTTACCGGTAGATTAAGGATTTAAACTTGATGAGTTTAAAGTTTACTTTCTTAACATTGAACTCATTTTACTTTTGAAATTTACATGTTAAGAATTTACACACACTCTCCCGTTGTTCCATTTCGTGCGACTCTCTTTTCTTTTAGTTTGTTTCGGAAAGAATGACACATTTCTATTTGTAAATAATTTAATCTTTTACTTTCCATTACCCTTAACACTTTTATAGCCAAAGAAATGTCATGAAATGTTTAAGATCACAAGTATTAGAAGCTAGTTTTCTTTTCTATTTAATTTTGTGCTCAATCAAACAATGAGTATGTGTATGCTTATATCGTTTGTGGAAAATATTAGATTCATCTGAACCCATTCAACATAGGCTCTATCAACATCTTGTTCTATGTTCTTGATTTCCTAATTATTACTATGCTAATTCAGTGCTGAACTCATTTTAACAATAGGTGACAATGATTTTGCACGAGTCATTAAGGCTATATCCACCGGCTAGTGCACTTGGTCGAACCATTACAACTAAAATGAAGCTAGGGGAACTAACTTTACCGGCAGGAGTGATGCTGTCTTTGCCAACAATTTTAGTGCATCATGACAAGGAAATATGGGGCGAAGATGCAACAGAGTTCAAGCCAGAGAGATTCAGTGAAGGCATTTCAAAGGCAACAAAGGGCCAAATGACGTTTTTCCCATTTGGCGCGGGACCTAGGATATGCATTGGACTGAACTTCGCAATGATAGAAGCGAAGATGGCTATGACTATGATTCTGCAACGCTTTGCATTTGAACTATCTCCTTTGTACACTCATGCTCCACAGTCTGTAATAACTATGCAGCCCAAATATGGTGCTCCTCTAGTGTTGCATAGATTGTAAGTTGAGACTTACATGAAATGTCTTACATTGAATTAATAACTATGTCAAACAAGCATTATTAAGTTGATTTGTATTGCAGCTTTGGTCCCTGCTATATCTAAAGAATGGAAATGGCTCAAATATGTCATTGAATTTTGATAAAAGGTTTATCTATATCATCTGTTAAAAGTTTGACTCAATTATGTCATTTTTGTTAAATTAAGTACCTATCCAATATTCATGCCTTTATGAGCCATTTTTTTAACAAATGACATAAATGAGTTTTTTTTTCTCAAAGGTTCATGACCAGGGAATGGGATGTTCATGGTTTAGATAAAAACCAATCCAAACCAAAAGAATTTGAACCAAATCGATTAAATAAACTAGTTTTATTTGAATTTGGTTTGGTTTTGTTTTTGTCACGCCCCGAGCCTACACCCTGGACGTGGCCGGCACTCGAAGACCATTTCTGGTCCCCAAGCGAACCCTCATCCTGGCTGACTCCAAGCGGAATACTAACTTAAGCATACAAGAGCTTAAAACTGAATAAGAGTTTATAAACTCAACTTTATAAATCTTTAACTCAAAAGAAAACTCTGTATAATAGAATATATATACAACTCGCCATAAAAGGCAACTTTAGTCTTCAAAACATTTAACAAAATAAATGAAGAGACTTCTGAAACTCTATTGTCTATCTATGAAGCCTCTAACTGATAAAGATGGAAGCCGGGACAAGACCCACGACCTCCTAACAACTGATACAACTGAAAGGTAAATGAAATCCTCCGGAAGCAAAGAGGCTTGTCATAGCTAACTGGAACTCCCGGATGTATCAACGAATCTCCTGTTGATGATCCTGAATACCTGTGTCTGCATCATAAAAAGATGCAGGCCAAATGGCTCAGTACGTGGAATGTACGAGTATGTAAGCTAGAAAGCTAAACAACATAGGCTAGAAGAAAAACTGGAATAAATTGAATAACTTACCTCTTTTCAAACTTTCTCAACTCAAGGAATACCCAAAACTACTCAAACTTACTCAACTCAGAAGATAGATACTGGACTCAGAGACAGATACTCAACTCAAAGATAGATACTCAACTCAAAGATAGATACTCAACTCAAGATAGATACTCAACTCAAGGATATATACTTAACTCAAGATATATACTTAACTCAAAGATACTTAACTCAAGGATACTCGACTCTTGAATAACTGAACTCAACCTGACTGACTTCTTTCAATATAAGGCAATTTAAAACAAGTGCGATATAAAGAAAGACTGTTTAAAACATGCTATAAACTCTGAGTGTATACAAGGATACAATAAGCCTGAGATGTATATAGAAATACAATTGAACTGATGTATATAAAATACAATAATTTCTGTGTATGAAAATACAATAACTGCTGTGGGAGTTTCTCTAACCGACAACCATCACATAAGAGCTATAGTGATGATACAGCGATCGACCTCACGCTGCCAGAGCATCTTATACCCGGCCAAAGGTATAAGACCTGAACTGCCTAATGGATCCACTAGTCTAATCTGAAAAGGATTCATCTAAAAAGTATGATCCTTTTCTACCCATGGTGGCTAACATGGTTCTATGGGGGCTGTGGGTTCTTTGAACGCTCCCCCAATTCGGTGCTCAATACTACTCCCAAAAATGTACTGGCTCTTATGTTTTTAAAACATATTTATTCCTGCTGATATGAGATAATTACTCAAAAACTAGCCCGAAGGCTCTTTTGGAAATCTCAGTTTCCAACCTTGTTTAAATGTAAAAACATTTCTTTAAAACTTCTTTGGGAATACATAGTTCCCTAATAACTTTGAGAAATGAACTCAACTCTTTACTCTTTACTTTAATTGAAACTCGATACTTTGACTCAACTTGGAACTCTTCATTCTTTACTTAACTTGAGCCTTAAAATGAAGTTAAAACGATCAATGAAGACTCTTGGAAAACCTTAAAGACTTGTTTTGACTTACTTACTTCTAAGCTTGACTTCACTTGACTTGGAAACTAACTTCACTTGACTTTGAAACTAACTTCACTTGACTTTGAAACTAACTTCACTTGACTTGGAAACTAACTTCACTTGATTTGGAAACTAACTTCACTTGACTTTGAAACTAACTTCACTTGACTTGGAAACTAACTTCACTTGACTTTGAAACTAACTTCACTTGACTTGTAGTTTTACTTGACTTTTGGAAGTACCTTGGAGTGTTGGAAACAACTAGGAAACATAGGTATAATACCTAGGAACATGTATAAAAAAAGAAATGGTGAATGAAAGGGAAGGATTGGTGTCCTTGGCACTAGGAGAGGTGCAACAGCCCAGCCCCTTTTTCCCCAAAAATCCGACTTTTTCCCCTTGTTTCTTTCCAATTCTAAACCCTCTCAACCTCAAGGTTTCAGCAGCAACACTTAGAATCATAAAGACCCTTATTATACAATAGATTCAACTCAAAAATCACAGCCAGAAATCTGTACTAAATCAGCAAGAACTTCAACACAACACCACTACAACTTCAACAACCAATAAATCTTCTCTTGGAATTAAAAACGAGTTGGTGTGTGGGGGTATGAACCAACCAACACTAAGGATCATAAAATCCCTCAATATACAATAGGTCACAACTCAAATACACAGCCCAATCCTGTCCCACAACCAACAATAACTTCAACAACACAACTAACAACATCAACAACAACTAACAACTTCAACAACAAATCCAATCTCTTCTCAAATCATAAAAACGAGCTTGGTATGTGGGGGGAAAGGATAAACCCACACTAAAGACTCACATACCTGATTAGGGATCACCCCCGACAAAAATCCACGACGATCCTTAGCTTCTTCTTCTCTTTCTCCTCTTCTTTTCCTCTTCTTTCTCTCTTATCTTCCAAGCCCTAACTCTCACTCTTACTCTCACTCTTTAAAATGGGACAAAAATGATCCAAACATCAGTCTAACACCTCAATATAACCCAAAGAAAAGATTAGGGAAAAGACCAAAATACCCTTAAAATTTTCGGACTAAACAAACTGCACTGTGCGACTGTGCGACTGTGCCAACAACCCAACTTCCAAAGGGCATAAGTCACTCATACGAACTCGGAATCAAGCAAACTCGGCGGCGTTGGAAAGATCATTCCAAGGGCTTTCCAGACATAACTGGAAATTCGCCTAAATCATTTTGATCTAGGAGATACGACTGCTCAAAGTTGACAAAAAACTCACCTTTTTTCCATAGCCAAATTTTCCAGATTCTTTCCAAAATGACTATTTCCAATTCAACTCTTCTTGGAACTCAATGTGCTACACCTAGGGACCTTAACTTAACACTCAAGAAATTTTTTATTCCTCGGTAAAATCCCACTCCACATGAAGGATGGCTCGAGTCTTAGTTCGAAAATTCTCTGGGGTGTTACAGTTTTAGATTTTAAAAAACCGATAGTATTTGATTTGATTTTGATTATGTTTAAAAACTCAAATAAATAACCGAACTGATAAATTATATACATATATTTTATTATTATATATGCATAATATAATATTTTTATAAATAATTTTAAATATCTTATAAATGTTTTCAACAAATTTTATTTATAATTTATTTATGAAAGCTAAAGTGTCCAAGATGAGAACATTTATATTATTGATTTCATGTATATGAGTATTTATTGCAATTCTTGGTGGGACTAGGAATGTCACTGTCTCTTCCTTCTAGGTCAAAATGATAAATTTTGAAGCTTTATTCACATTAAATTCAGTGATCGAAAGTTCTGTAATGTTCATCATTCTAACTATTTTTCATTTTGAATAAATTGTTGTTTGTTTTCCCTCTTTTAAATGAATCATTTTAAAAAATTTGTGTATGGTTAATGACTTAATAAATGAATCAAACTGAAATCGATAACAATCAAACCGATAAATGTATATTGTATTTGATTTTTCCAATTGAGTAAATTTTACACAAATCTCATATTGTTAAGAGCAAATTAAATATATCCCCAGTGGCGGAGTGAGGATTTTTAATAAGAGGGTTCAAAATATGAAAAGTAAACACACGAACTAATGGAAGGGGGTTCGACATCTATTATACATACCTAAAAAATAATTTTAACCATGTATAAATAGTAATATTTTCCGCCGAAGAGGGTTCGAATGAATCCCTAAGTATATTCTACCTCCGCCCCTGATTATCCCTACTCTTTTTCAAATTACAAAAATTCCTTAAATTTGGTGGAATTCAGATACATCCCAAAATGTTCCGATACATCACATTCTAATTTTGGATACATCCTTTTTCAGATACATCAGATATATCATGTACGTCCCGATACATAGCGTAAAGTGATGTATCTGATCGATACATCGCGCAAAGTGATGTATCCGATCAATACATCGCGTAAAGTGATGTATCCAACTGACATGTCACGTAAAGTAACATCTCAATACATCGCGTATGTTCTGATACATTGCAAAGTGATGTATCCGATCGATACATCGCATAAAGTGATGTATCCGACTGATACATCGCGTAAAGTAGAGATTTTTGTAATTTTTTCAGATGATTGGGAATTTTAGAAAATATAGTAAAATAAATTGTGTATTTAAGTCATTTTTCCAATTGAAAAATTGATTAAATTAATTTGATTTTGATCAATAATCGATCCAACCTGACTCGTAAACAGCCTTATAGATGACATATTTGAACGTTTTCTCTTTAAAGAATGGTGAGCTACAAGATAATCTAGTTTATACATAAAGTTGGAACAGATTTTATAAATTCAAGAACTTTTGACCCAAAAATAAATGACGGATTATCTAAACCTCCCTAAATTTGACGTGATTTATTAAGATTTCACCTAAGCTATGAATCATATTAATTACCCTGTCAAATAAGTCAAGTCAATTCGGGGATAGTTAAGACTATTTATAGTTAAGCAAATCTGAATAGAACACACCAAATTTAAGTTCATCGGTCAAAAAAAAAAAGTAAATAGAGAATATAACATTGGCCAAACACTAAAAGTTGAATTTTTTTTTAATTAATATTTTTTTAAAATTTATTTAACACGATAAAATTCCTTTAAAAAAAGAAGAAAAATGAGTATTAAAAAATAAGCATTTGGTGAATGGAAGTTTCAATTCATTTTAAACTTATTTTAAGTTATTTTTAACATTGTCAAACACTTCCTAACTTATTTTAAGTCATTTTGTTTTTACTTATTTTAAGTTATTTTTATATTTGTCAAACACTAAGTCAAAAATGGACTTAAAAGTAGGTTTGACCAACTTTTAAGTCAATTCAAACACCCTTGTAATCTAAATTTAACTTTGAAAATTAGTCAAATTGACTTTCGAAAAGCGCAACATAAAAAATAAAGTGGACAGAGGTGTAGAGAATAGCAGAAGAAATCTATAACCGGAAAACCTTCTGCTAGCCCAAAATTGTTAACTAAGATCAGAAGATTCAACTAAAGAAGAGGAAGTTAAAAAGGAGAGAGTACTATTTTGGATAGGAGAACTTTATTATGGACGAAGATTAATTGATTTGGGTTGAGTTACTCTACAAGAAATATTTATATTGTATAGGGATGCTTCTAGAAATTATTCTAGATACATCTACAAGAAATATGTATATATCTTTATCTTTTAACTATGTAACAAAAATCTAGATATTTCTATATTTTACTATAAATATCTAATTATCTAGAATATCTAAAGTTTTCTTAAGTATAAATATCAAACTCTACAAAATTCTAGAGAGTTCTACTAAATATCAAAGATATTTTTTGTACCTTCAAAAAGTCAATTTTAATTTTTCACAAGAGGGAGTATTAAAACTTCAAACACAATATTATATATAACACATTGAATTCCTTATAGGGGGAAGGAAACATAAAGTAATGGAGATTCTTGCTTACTATTTCTTAGCCTTATTTTTATTAGCAATTACCTTTGTAATATGTGCATGGAGGTTGTTGGACTGGGCATGGTTTAGGCCAAGGAAATTGGAGAAATGCCTTAGAAAACAAGGTCTCAAAGGGAACTCTTACAAATTGATTTATGGAGACATCAAAGAGCTGTCTAAAAGCATTGAAGATGCTGAGTCCAAACCATTGAATGTCTCAGATGATGACTTAACACCCAGAATTCTCCCTTATTTCGTTCAAACAATCAAAAAATACGGTAATTTTTTGTTTTCTTTTCATGTGGTTTTCTCATGTATCTGTTTTAGGGTTTGATTAGTTCGAATTCACATCTGGAGTAAAGTGTACTTTCATTTCAAAGCCCAAACTCGAGATCTTTGATTAAGCTCTTGTTTGACCATAGATTTTGAAGTTGATGCTTGAGAATTCAGTTTTTTAAGTTATGATTTTTTGAACTTAAAGTTGTTTTACTTGGGAATTTTTAAAGTTTTGTGAGTGAAAGTGAAAATTTTCCACCAGATTTTGGAACTTGAGATAGATTTTCAAAGTTTGTTTCAAATATATGGTCAAACAGATATTTGAAGATGTTTTGATCCAAAATCTATGACCAAACGCGAGGTAAGGATAGAGGAGTGCTTACCCGCCCACAACATGATCCAATGACTCAGCTACATTTAGTTTCAAATCCAACAAGTATTACGAGAATCTAGCTATAAATTTCAAATTCTAACTCTGCATCTTTCTATACTTGTGGAAAGTACGAAAAGTTGAGCTAAGAATTATTGGACTTGCAATATTTTACAGGTAAAAACTGTTTTATATGGATTGGGCCAAAGCCTTTGGTAATTGTAGGGAACCCTGAGGTAATAAGGGATGTGTTTAACAAACATGCTCTCTATCAAAAGCCAAAATCAACTCCACTGATTAGGTTGCTGGCACTAGGAATTCTAAGCTATGAAGAGGATAAATGGGCAAAGCATAGGAAAATTCTCAATCCTGCTTTCCATATGGAGAAGATAAAGGTATTTTTTCATTCCTCTCCCTCCCAAAAGCATAATATATTTTCGCGTAGGGCCGAAGCTAGGGGGGCAGAAGGGGTTCATTTGGATCCCCTTTGTTGAAATGTTAAATTTGTTTATTTTTACGTATGTATAGTAGATGTTGAATTTCCTTGATTTCTTGGTGTGTTCAATTATTAACAGTTTAAGCTTTTGAATAAGATAGTCACACAATATGCGACAAAAAACCTCATCTCCATAACAGTATAAACAAAAATTACTTCACTTGTATTGATCATCACAAATTCACGATATCATTACCCCCCTCTATAAGCTCCCCTCCTTTTCGTTCCTTTGGTGACTCGAACCCACAATCCTAGGTTAGAGGTGAGGGGTGCTTACCGTTTGAGTAACTCTCCATTTATCACAAATTTATGATATCGACTCTGCTTTCATTTTGTTTTCCCTCTAGCTTGCAAATATGGCCAAAGTTTTTTTAGGAGACAATATTTCTACAAGATGCAGTTGGTTTAATTTGTATTAATGAGTTGTTTGAAAATGTGTAGGATATGCTTCACGCAGTTCATTTGAGCTGCAGTGAAATGGTGAGTCAATGGGAGGAGGCTGTCTCAATGAAAGAATCATCCACCGAACTCGATATATGGCCTTACCTTCAAAGATTGACTAGTGATGTTATTTCTCGCACAGCCTTTGGAAGCAACTATGAAGAAGGTCGAAAGATATTTGAGCTTCAAAAAGAACAAGCTGAGCATGTCATTGAAGTTTCTCGCACCTTATATATTCCAGGATGGAGGTAATACGACGTCGTTTTTCCATAGTGTATGTATTACAAAGTTCATAACTAATCTGTTGCTAAATGATCCCTAGCTAACATATTTTTTGGTAATGGTTGCTAATCCATCCTTAAATAGGATCATCGACAAGTTTTTGTGGAAGCTGTACGCCGCTAATACCTATGTTTGATGTTTCTATAGCTCCTTCAATGACAAGTTAAAATACATTGATAGAGTAAAAACTATTTACGCGTGTATATAACTTTCCCCGTATCTATATCCAAATATAACAGGAAAAGAAGTTTAAAATAGTGATTATTTGATGATGATATACATGTTTTGTTGTGTTAAAATAATGTAGGTTCTTTCCAACTAAGAGAAACAAAAGGATGAAGGAGATTGAGAGAGAAGTTCAAGCAACAATTAGGGGAATTATTGATAAAAGAGTGAAGGGAATGAAAGCAGGGGAGGCCAATACTGATGACTTATTAGGCATATTGTTGGAATCCAACTTTAAAGAAATCGAGCAACACGGTAACAAGAATTTTGGTATGACTATAAAAGAGGTTATTGAGGAGTGTAAGTTGTTCTATGTTGCTGGACAAGAGACAACCTCTGTATGGCTTGTATGGACTATGATTTTGTTAAGCAGGCATCCAGACTGGCAAGTTCGCGCTAGAGAAGAGGTTTTGCAAGTGTTTGGAGATGGCATGCCAGAATTTGATGGATTAATTCGCTTGAAAGTTGTAAGTTATTTTAGCTTGTTTTCCTTCCTTTTAATTTCCAATTCTCCGCAACACATGGTGTTACTTTTATTTAGCGTCGGATTAAGGATTTAAACTTAGGTTCTTTGCATTGAACTCATTGTTATACACTCTCCCTTTGTTCCATTTTGTGTGAAGGTCTTTTCTTTTAGTTTGTTCAAAAAAGAATGACACATTTAATAATTAACTTTCCAATTACTCTTATGGCCATAGAAATATCATGGAATGTTTATGATCACGAGTTTTAAAAGTCTTTTTTTCTATTTAACTCCATGCCCAATCAAATAGTGAGTATGTGTGTGTTTATATCGTTTGTGGAAAATATTAGATTCATTTGAACCCGTTCGGCATAGGCTCCTCAGTCTTTGGTTCTATGTTCTTGATTTCCTTATTACTATGCTAATTCAATGCTGAATTCATTTTAACAATAGGTGACAATGATTTTGCACGAGTCGTTAAGGCTATATTCACCGGCTAGTGCACTTGGTCGAACCATTACAACTAAAACAAAGCTAGGGGAACTAACTTTACCAGCAGGAGTGATGCTGTCTTTACCAACAATTTTAGTGCATCATGACAAGGAAATATGGGGCGAAGATGCAACAGAGTTCAAGCCAGAGAGATTCAGTGAAGGCATTTCAAAGGCAACAAAGGGCCAAATGACGTTTTTCCCATTTGGCGCGGGACCTAGGATATGCATTGGACTGAACTTCGCAATGATAGAAGCGAAGATGGCTATGGCTATGATTCTGCAACGCTTCGCGTTTGAACTATCTCCTTCGTACACTCATGCTCCACAGTCTGTAATAACTATGCAACCCAAATATGGTGCTCCTCTAATGTTGCATAAATTGTAAGTTGAGACTTATATGAAATGCGTTGCATTGAATTAATATCTATGTCAAACAAGCATAATTAAGTTAATATATATTGCAGCTTTGGTCTCTGCTTTCATTCGATCATAGGATATATCTAATGAATGGAAAAGGCTCAAATATGTCATCGAACTTTGAAAAAAGGTTCATCTATGTCATGGAAACTTTGAAAAAAGGTTCATCTATGTCAATGTCACCCGTTAAAAGTTTAGTTCAACTATATACCATTTTTCGTTAAATTAAGTACCTATCCATGTCATTATGAGTCAAATTTTAACGAATGACATAACTGAGTCTTTTTTCAAAGGTCGATGACTATAGTGTTCATGGTTTGGATAAAAAACGTACCAAACCGATTAAATAAATTGATGTTATTTGGATTTTGGTTTGGTTTTAGATTTTCAAAAACCGATAGTATTTGGTTTTGTTTAAAAAACCCGAAGAAATAACCAAACTAATAAATTATATACATATATTTTATTATTGTACATGCATAATATATTATTTTTATAAATAATTTTATATATCTTATAAATGTTTTCAACAAATTTTATTTATAATTTATTTATGAAAGCTAAAACGCCCATGATGAGAACATTTATCTTTTTTATTTCATGTTTATGAGTATCTATCGCAATTCTTGGTGAGACTAGGAATGTCATTGTCTCTTCCTTCTAGGCCAAAATGGTGAATTTTGAAGATTTATTCACAGTTAATTCAATGATCGAAAGTTTTGTAATGTTAATCATTCTAACTATTATTTTTCGTTTTGAATGAATTGTTGTCTTTTCTCTCTTTTGAATGAATCATTTTTTAAATTTTGTGTATGGTTAATGACCGAATAACCAAATCGAACCGAATTATATTTGGTTTTGATAATTTAAAAATCAATTAAATTAGATTAATTTTGATCAATAACCGATCCAACCCGACCCCTGAACACCCCTATAGATGACATATTTGAACGTTTTCTTTTTAAAGAATGGTGAGCTACAAGATAATCTAGTTTATACATAATGTCGGAACTGGTTATATAAATTCAAAAACTTTTGACCCAAAAATAAATGACTGATTATTTAAACCTCCGTAAATTTGACGTGTTTTACTAGGATTTTCACCTAAGCTATCAATCGTATTAATTACCCTATCAAATAAGTCAAGTTAATTTGGGGATACAAGACTATTTATAGTTAAGTAAATCTGAATAGAACACGCCAAATTAAAGTTTATCGGTCAAAAAACATAAAAATAAATAGAGAATATAGCATTGGTCAAACACTAAAAAATATTGATTTTTTTAATTAATATTTTTTAAAATTTTATTCAACACAAGTAAAATTCCCAAGAAAGAAGAAAAATGAGTATTCAAAAATAAGCATTTGGTGAATGGAAGTTTTGTTTGCCACAACTCACAGGAAGCGTTATTTTCGCAAACTCGCACCATTATTTACATGCATGCATAAATTATGAGTCTCACAATTATACTACAGTTCTAATTGGGTCCCACCATGCTGCCATCGTTTGCTGTTTTAGCTTATACATCAGGCATAAGCTGGTGTACCTTGTGTCAATAGGGGAAAAAAACGTTTGCGATTCTCAAGTACTATTTCTCTCCCTTATAAAAGACTTTTCCCGCTACTCAACTTCTCAGTTCCCTCTTCTCTCTGTTTCTAGAGAAAGTGAAACAACTGCTGCTGAGCGTTTGGCCCCTCTCTCTCGCCGGAGAATCGGAGGCTCTTCGTTTTCCGGTAAACAACGAGAACTCCTCCTCCGTGTTTTTTTCCGTCCAATTTATGTACAATTTTTTTTGTTTAAAAGTTAGTTTTATGATAGGAATGTATGATCAGTCGTTCTAGTTGATTATAAATTTTTGTGTTTCCCGATTTTTACCGCCGACTGTAAAGATTTCGTCCGGTGATTGTCCGAGAGGAAGTTTTGGAACAAAAGAGCCAAATTGAGATTCTCTCATCGTTCATGTTTTTTTTGTGTGTGTATGATATGAGCTGTTTCTAAGCAAGTGTTATGAACTTGTATCGAAGGTTTTGTTCTTCGATTGCAAAAAAAATAGGTGATTAGAATTACCGAGCTCTGACAAGTATAATCATAGAGACATGTCTGCAGATTCGATGCACAATCCAAGCTTAAATGAGGAAGGTATTTGTGTTTCCTAGTGTATATTTTTTTCTGCCATAATATCTTTGATAGACTGTTATCTGGCTGGATTTTTTTTGCTTGGGGTCAAATGCCTCAGCTAAGCCTCAATATACAGTGTAACTTAAGTGATATTTTGCCTCAGCAGAGCCTCAATATACAGTGTAACCTAAGTGAAATTTCCCAAGTTTTTTTATATAGTTGTTCTCATGACCTTTATTTGAGTGATGCATTACGCCTAGAGGCTAGTGTTATCCTGTATATGAAACATGGTATGATTTGCATTGTCCAATGGCGAAGCCTGAATATTCACTCGGGGCATTAAAAAATATAAAGAAGTAAACATACAAAGAAGTCAGGGGAGTTAACAACTGCTATATTTGCGGTGCGTTTTTTCTGCCCATGGCATTGTCAACTTTGCTGTTTAGTAATGTAATGTTTCTATTTTTGGTAGTTGTTCACACAGCAGAAGTTTTCAATATGGTGAAACAAGAACAAATGGATGTAGTTACTGAAAAAGAGTGGGAGTATCGTGCATTGAAGGCAAGGATAGAAGAAAGGAAAAAAGACCGCAAGAAGAAACAAGAGGACAGACCAACTTTAATGTGGGAGACTTGGGAAGAAACATATGACAAATGGCTTGTGAAACACTTCGCAGATGATTTGGATAATCAGAATGAGTTTTTGTGTGAAACGGCGGAGCCATCATCAGATATGATTGTGCCATTGTTCAGGTACCAGAAGGAGTGGTTGTTTTGGGCACTTAAGCAAGAAGAATCTTCATCCAAAGGGGGTATTCTTGCTGATGAGATGGGAATGGGGAAGACTATCCAAGCGATAGCACTTGTGCTTGCTAAACGGGAATTAGGGAAAACAATTAGCAAATCTAGTTTATTGTCATCTTCATCCAGTACTAAGCAAGAACTCTCAGCAGTAAAAGGCACTCTTATCTTATGTCCTATGGTTGCTGTCCTTCAGTGGGTTACTGAGATCAATCGATGCACCATTGAAGGTAGCAACAAAATTCTTGTGTATCATGGTTCCAACAGAAGGAAACTTAGCCACGATATTGAAGAATATGATTTTGTCATCACCACATACTCCACTGTTGAGGCTGAATATAGGAAATATGTCATGCAGCCGAAACAAAAGTGCGAGTGGTGTGGCAAAGCATATTATGAAGAAAAGTTGCCCATTCACCAGAAGAGGTTTTGTGGACCAGATGGTGTTAAAACTGCCAAGCAGTCAAAGAAGCAGAGGAAGAAGTTAAAACTTGACGAGGAATTGTTGATGCAGAAAACAGATTCTACTGAGTCAGAGACTTATTTGCAGATAACAGATTATATGGAGTCAGAGACGAATGTGCAGGAAGAAGGTTCTACCCCGGAGACTGATATGAAGAAAATGGGTCGTAGGAAGTACATGAAGCGTAGTAGCATGGCAGAAGAAGGAAAAAATGATGGTTCTATGGATAATTCATCCAGTGTAAATCAAGATTTGCCACAGAGGAAGTCAATTTTGCATTCAGTGAAGTGGGATCGCATCATCTTGGATGAGGTAAGTCACGCCTTTGCATATCATGTGCACTTGTATATGTTGTTGCTTTCTTCAATTATCATTATGTCATAGTTTTTATTTGTTAGTATTATATGAGAGTGAAAATGGTTAGTTTCCTAATGATTCATTTGATATAAATACTAGTATTTTCCTCACAGATGATCAAGTTATTTACAAATGCTTAAGAGTGAGGAACATTGATATCTGTAGTGCTATCTTAAGGACTTAGAATGTGAAGTACTATATGGTTTATGCAGTCTGCGGAAACACTATTGTAACTGTTGAGTAATATAGATGAATGTACCTACCTACCTCTAGGATGTTTCAGCTCATTGACATTTAATTAGCAGTATGAACGAAAATATCCTGATGCTCATGGTTATGCTCAATTGCTCAGGTGAAATATTATCTGCAATTTTGGTTTGATTTCTATCTTCTATTCTTGTAATGAATCCGAACATTCTGTTCTCTCGGTTCCTACTGAATGCTGTTGTATACTTGTATTTGATTTGTAGTGTGTGCCTGTCCCAATCATCTCACTGCGTTCAGAATTTCATAATTGCATGTGATACAAAATCTTGTCTGCAATGTTTCAACTCATTTCACTTATCTGATACAGGCTCATTATGTAAAAGATAGGCGCTGCAACACGACAAAAGCTACTCTTAGTTTGAAATCTTCTTATAAGTGGGCCTTAAGTGGTACTCCGATTCAGAATCTTGTTGGAGAATTGTATTCACTTGTAAGTTCAACTTTTGCTGGTTATTGTCTTCCAAATGTTTGTGTTATGAGATTAATTAAATGCTTTACTTTTGCACAGGTCCGTTTCCTACAAATAGTACCCTACTCTTTTTACTTTTGCAAGGACTGTGATTGCAGAACACTTGACTATAGGTAGTAATGCTTCACCTATCTTTGTACCTACCCCCTAGGGTTAAAGAAGTATGCTGCTCTAAATTTAATTTATAATTTATCTGTTCTTCCTTTTGCTCTTCGGCAATTGTCGTCTGAAACTTTTTATATTGTATATCCTTTGATAACTTTTGTCTTGCAGCTCTACATCCGAGTGCCCACAATGCCCCCACAAATCAGTACGGCACTTTTGCTGGTGGAACAGAGTAAGCTACAAATTTGATTATTCAAACTTTTGAGGCTTTATTATTGCCAAAAATAAATATAGTGCTGACATGGTGAGATTGATGCATCTTCTCTTTCTAGTACATTGCTACACCTATAAAACGTGAAGGAAGTTATGGGAGTGGTAGAGATGCGATGTTCCTTTTGAAGCATAAAATTCTAAAAAGCATCCTTCTAAGGCGTAGTAAAAAAGGAAGAGCTGCTGATCTTGCTCTTCCTCTTAAAATTGTAAGTTTTGTCGGGCAGTAATGTAGTCTGCTTTAATCTGATATTCTCTTTCCAGCTTATTTATTGGTTGTATATGGTTTCAGGTTACTTTGAGAAAAGATTCTTTGGATGTCATAGAAGAAGACTACTACACGTCATTGTACAATAAAAGCCAGGCACAATTTAATACGTATGCTATCTATCCTGTATATGCTGTTCCAACCTTCTCTTTCTTGGTGACTGTTCTTGTTTGTCTGTGGTTCCTCAGTTTTGTGTCACCCCTATGTAGTGTTTCCCTATTGATGTTGTATCATGAGGCTGGCTGATTGATTTTGTCTTCTTGTCTTATGTGTTGACTACTCTCCTGGAGTATGTTCTGGAACATATTGCTTCCATTTCTTGTAATATTGATGATTTAAGATCGCATGCTTTCATTTCCCTTCCAATGTGTTAGATCATGAAATATTGCTATCATCTGATTGCATTTATCCCCCCTCCCCCTCCCCTCTTTCTCTTTCTCTCTCATTGTGTCTGTCTCTCTGTCAGTTTGTTTCTTTTTCTTCCTTTCTCATTTCTTCTCCTTACCTTTCTTCTCTCCTCTTCTCTTTGTCACCGTGAATTTTTTCCTTAATTATTTTTACCTTGCCAAATGGTTAAAAAGAGATAAAAGACAATTTTAGCTTTAATTATATTTTTCCCTGTTGTGTTTTGTTGCAGTTATGTTAAAGGTGGAACATTGATGAATAACTATGCACACATTTTTGAGCTGCTTACACGCCTACGGCAGGTACCAAGATGATGTATAAATGCTTGAGATGCCAAAATGTTCTTGATAATTGTAATGTACACCTTCATTCATATACTTGTTCGTTCTGATTGACTAGTTATTATCTGCCTCTCAATTTGATCTACCATGCACACTCTGCACCTTTTTATCTACAATCTCGATGTGATTTTCTTCCTTGCAAATGTTTTCACATTCAGCTACTTATCCTTCGTTTTTTCTTCAACTTATTTTGTATAAATACATAGGCAGACGTTGTGCAAGTTCTTTAATCTTTACTTTTTCTTTTTAATACTCGGCAACTTCTTTCATATTCACCTCTTTTTTTCCTATCCCATTTTCTGGTGTAGTTTTATAACCCTTCTGGTATTACATTATTTTTTGTTAAATTTTAGAAGTGATAACTTTGGAATGTTGAATGCGTACTTGGATGATAGCTTGTTTTTTGCTGTTTAAATTTTTTGAAGTGGTTAACTTGGTATGGTTGAATGTGTATTTGGATGATAGCTTAATGGATAGTCAATACAATTTTTCATGGGAATTTAGGGACCACGAAATTAATCTGCACTCTATCAAAGTGTAGACTGGAGCATAGATTGGATTGCAGAACTTATCTGATGTGTAAATCAGCTTATCTGATGAGCCCTAAAGGTTATTTTAGCATATTCATTTTCTCTGAAGTTTTGTTGTCCTAGTCTCTTTTGTGAACATAATTTTGAAGTGCCTGCCCTTCTTTATCATGCTTCACCCCAGGTAATCATTTCGGTTTTTGTCACTTGTTACATGCTGTTGGTATTCACTTTTCTTTTTGCATCTTCCAATCATGCCTCTTGAATAACAGGCTTTAAAATATCAGTTGAAACTTGTAATAAAGTAGGCAACTATCTAAAATATGCATGTGTGTGTTTTATTACTGGTCCATCTTCAGCCAAATTTTTATGCGGTAAATGTTTGATTGATGTCTTTTCTTTAATCGGCAGGCAGTTGATCATCCTTATCTTGTGGTGTACTCGAGTACTGCTTTGGCTAAAATGTCAAACTCTGGAAATGTTGAGCAACCTTGTGGCTTATGTCATGATGCAGTAGGAGATCCAGCTGTGAGTTTATACACCCCCCACCCCCCCCAAAAAAAAAAAAAAAAAAAAGAAAAAAGAAAAGATAAAGGAAGAGAATCTTCAGCTACTCCATCTGTTATTTCCATTTTGCCAGAAACCTATTGAAGTTCATGATTATCTGGGGGAGCATTTTCCCAGTGCACCAAAAACATTTTTTCCAGAGTGTGCTTTTTATTATCCTTTGAATAGCTAAAAGCATTTTATCGAACTCTTCTGGTGGCATGCCAGGGGCGGCTCAACGTAACTGGGGGCCTAAAGCGAAATTTTCTTTGAGGCCTAAAAAATTTCATACATATTTATTTAAAAATTATTTTTCTAATTGTTTAGATGCACATTATTACTTCAACTTTTTAATAGATGATTTATTTGAGTACTTTTTAAAAAAAATTTAATTAATTTTAGAAGATTTTATCAATTCAATGCTGAAAAATATCCTTTTACTAAAGCAATCATTATATGAATTGTTAACATAATTCTCTAAGGAATAAGTTGACAAACTTTAAGCAAAATAAGAGTTAGAACCATAAAATCTGATTCAAGACGTTGATAACTTGATATACCTAACTTTGATTGAAAATATAAGTAAAAAAAAATTGCGATTCACTTTGTTCAACACTGTTCGACTTATGATTCAGATTTCTGATAGAGTATTACTTTAACTTATCAAGGATTTGAAGAAAAAGAGTGAAAAAGGAGTTTTAAAATAAATAAATAATGTGAATGTCAGAAATGTATTAAGACAAAACAACATTTTCTTGATTTCTTCTATTTGAGTGGAGTTAAGGATTATAAAATAATTTATTATAAATAATTATTGTTTTTATAAAAATAAAAACACATAATTTGTTCTTGGTAAAAATTTGAGGCCTCCCAAAATTGGGGGCCTAAGGCATGTGCCTAAATTTTTCTAAGCAAGAGCCGCCCCTGTGGCATGCTAAAAGTCCTTGATTGTCATCTCTTTTGATTGTTGCAGGTTACTTCTTGCATGCATGTCTTTTGCAAGACGTGTTTGATAGACTTTGCTGCAAGTGTTAGACAAGTGCCATGCCCTCTGTGTTCTGAACTAATTACAGTTGACTTCACTGTAAATATTGATAAGGTGGATCAGAATTCTAAACAGACTCTCAAAGGGTTTAGATCCTCAAGTATACTGAACAGAATTCAGCTAGACAATTTCCAGTCCAGCACTAAAATAGATGCTTTGGTATGAAATTACCTTTCTCCTCTATGATATTTTCCTCGAGCTGTTTTTTTTTTTGCATTGTAGTTTTTAAACTTCTCACAATCAGCATGCAGGTGTCATACCACAAGATGTAAAGACAGTGAGCCACTAGTTATAATTGTAGGGCTTACAGTCATCTTAATTACTGGAATTAGCTTATGATGCTGTACATTTATGTATATGCTTTTGCATTGATGCTAACCAACATATTCTTGTCAATTTAGTAGTGTTTCAACCTGGCATATAATTTGAAGCTTATGGAGTAAATATTTTCCCGCTTTGAAGTGCACAAAGATGGAGGAATCTCATTCTTATCATTTTCTATTCAGATTGATCTTTAAATCTTCTATTATTATTTTGCGTAGTATAGCTACAACACCATTATTTTGGTACTCTCTTTGTTTCAATTTATGTGACAGTCTTTTCTAATTGGGACTACACTAGAATTTGACATCAATTCCCTAGTAGTATTATGTTCAACCATGAGTTTTCAAACATTTATTTCACTCAAATACTCAAACTCAAGTTTGATGTGATATTTTTTACTTAGACTTTTCAACCTTTAATTTATATTTCTTCCATTTCTATTGATTAATAAAAGTGAAATTATATTGGCATCTCAAAACTTAGTATCCAATACAAAGATCCATCTTGAGATTCAATGTGAGAGGTTGTGTGTGAAGTACCCGAGTGGTTCTCATTGCTTGTTTTTATTAATTCCAGAGGGAAGAAATTAGGTTCATGATTGAAAGAGATGGTTCTGCAAAAGGAATAGTTTTCAGCCAGTTCACATCGTTTTTGGATTTGATACACTATTCTCTTCAGAAGGTAAGAGAAAAAGATAGCTTAGCTCCTTTCCTACTTTTCCCTCCTTTATTTTTGAAAACAAGAAAAGCTCACCTTGTGTATTTTTCAGTCGGGCATCAATTGTGTTCAATTAGTCGGATCTATGTCTATTGACGCAAGAGCTGCAGCAGTTACCAAATTTACTGAGGATCCAGATTGCAGGATATTTCTTATGAGCTTAAAAGCTGGAAGTGTTGCACTCAATCTTACGGTTGCATCACAGGTAGGATGTCTCGTTCATTTCTGTCTAGATCAGATGTGGTAACATTTTCCAGATCTCCTGTTATAATTCGTTCAACATATTCCGACTTCACTTGAAGAACCAACTTAATTACCATTATCGCATGTATCTATATGTTGGATAAGTGCCCAATTCATGTCATGATAGGTGGCTTCTCTTGCCTATGCTAGGTTTTCATGATGGATCCTTGGTGGAATCCTGCTGTGGAGCGCCAAGCACAAGACCGAATTCATCGAATAGGGCAATATAAACCCGTCAGGTCTGTTTTGCATTTCTTGTACTTTTTATGTCATTGAGTGGAGCTTATTTTTTCTTTTCTCATTTCTAGGATTGTAAGATTTGTGATTGAAAATACAGTTGAAGAGAAGATCTTAAAGTTACAGGAGAAGAAGGAACTTGTTTTTGAAGGGTAAGTGAGTTTTTCTTGTAGTAGATGGTTGTATTTGTGTTCTGCTAAGAAATAGGAGATTAGTTGTAAGTTGAAGGGATTTTTAAATGCATTATTTGTTGGAGAAGTCTCTAGAAATTATCTTTGTGAAGTAATTTTCTTTAAAATTCTGTAACTATTAGGTGCGACTCTTGATGAGAATCATTATCTTCCACCATGTAGGTCAAGGGTTCAAATATATGCACAAGTAGCTTCCCCTTCCCCTTCCGCTTTGTGAATTTACAGCTCATCCTACTTATCAACATTGTTTCCCTGTGCTGATTTCACAATCAATTCTTTGCTATAACAGTTGTTTGTAAAATCACTGTGCAACTTCCTTCTTCATCTATGATTTTCCTTGCAGTAGAGTAATTATGAGAGATGGCACTCATCAGTTTAATTCTAACTAGAGAAGGCCATCTCAAAGCGGCTGGAAGCTGCCCCATTTTCTTACTTGCTCTAGGGTGGAGTTAGGTTTCGAGGGGGTTCAAGTCCTAGTCAGAATAAGGAAAAACGAGGGTTTTTGGTTGTATATAAACTACTGAAATTTCCTTGTATTAAGGGAAAAAATTACTCTAGTGGCAAAGGGGTTCACAAAATTGCACTAATTCATAGGTTCAATTCCAAATTGTTTCCTATTGTGTTGCTCACTAGCTTCTTGCTTCAGTGTATGGACACATAACACATTACATAAGTCCTAACTTGCTTCCCTAGTTGTAAACAACATCACTTTACATGCCAGAATATCTTGTAATGCCATATTCTACATCTTGTGTTCTCCACAAATTATTGATTTATCTTTGGAAAATGATATCATATCTTGAGTTCTCTTCGGAAAACTGGAAAATGCCAGTCAAGTTGTTGAGCTTTACTTGGACAAGTTGGCTTGTATGTTTGAAGTGTCTCAGACTTCCTGTCGGGTCTGGTGGTTGTTATAAAATCTTGCCAAGATTTGGGAGCTGTTGAAGTTGGTGTGGCTGTTGTATGCTCTTTGCTTACTCTTGTTGCAAGCCAAATAGTTCTGCCATCTTCATTCGTATACTGCTGTTAGGCAGTGTCAAGAATAATTTTTTATATTACCCACTCCCACTGTATTTAGCTCTTTTTCTACCTCACCCCTTCCACCCTATGCAATAATTAGAAAAAAAGTTCAGAAATAATTGATGAGAAAAACCATTTGATGATTTTCTCATTCAATGATTCAAATAATTTCCAGATATAAACTCTATGATGATTTTCTAAACATGTCAGAGCACCTTTTTGTTTTACATTTGCTTTCTATATGCTGTCTCTCTCCATTCCCAAACACACCAAAACATTCCTCCTTTTTTACCTCGACATACTTAAGTTTCTATTGCTATTGCAGGACAATTGGTGGCTCTTCAGAGGCCTTTGCAAAGCTAACTGAAGCAGACTTGAAATTCTTGTTTACAACTTAAATTGGTTGATATTTTGCTCTTTAGTTCAAGAAGCAGATTCACTTGTATTTTTTGCTTTTAGAACAAAGTTTGTTCATAGACTAGTCGTCTGCTGCCCATGATATGTAGATATACTTCTGAATTTAGCCATATCCCTGTTGGATTGTCCAGGAAATGTCGCTTTGCATCACCATCATTAGCTTATGATCTTATTCCAGTCAAAGAGTGAACAATTAACTAAATCTGGGCAGAGTATCTATGTGGTTCTCTTTTCAGCACAATCAAATTTCTGATTTCTTGGCACTGTTCATTTCTAGTAATCTAATATTTTGATTATATCTATAATTAATGTTACCAAACGACTTTAGCATAACCCTTATATAACTGATCCTATTCTTGTTGATGTTCTCATGCTTCAGTTAGCATCATCGAGATGGCTCTTTCAAGTTACTTTTGGAAAAGTTATAAGCATCTTCATATTTATATATAAACTCTGCCACCTGTGCAGGTGGCTTGAGCATAACCCTTGGTACAGCGGTAGACTTTGAGCATTCTAATTACTCAGCATATCCTAAAATAATTCTCTTTTATTATTTTCCTAATCTTCCTTTTTGTGTGCCTTATTTTGCGAATTGCGACGCACCATATTCGATCGAGTAACATTCGGTACTGAAGGATACATCTCTTTCCAGTTTTATGTTGGCAAGAGTACTTTTAATTAAATAGTAAGAGGTACATCAATGGTGTTACACTATCAACTCAGTGTAAGAAGTAGAGTGAATTAACATATAACTCTTGGTTGTCAAAGAAAGAGTTCAGAATGATTAGATGTTTGTAGAAGTTATTGGTACAAAAACTCTATGGTTGTGGATTGAGTTACTAAGAGATTAGGCCTAACCCATCGGTGCCCCCTAAACTTGGCACGATCTTTCACTTAGACACCTTAACTAGACTTTGTTCATTTTAGACACCTCATGTCACGCCCAACTGTGTCAATTTGACACTTTCTGTTGAGATGGCATAGCAAGTGTGATACACTCACTAGACGCGCGTGAGAGCCTCATTTTACCAAATTTTAATTATTTTTTTTTCTTCTTCTTCTTCCTCATTTTTTGGCTACCATTTTCCAAGCTTAAACTCTTTCCATGGTGAAATAAATTTGACGATGTCACAAACAAAAAGTGAATTCTAGTGCCCATAAATCTAAGCTTAAATACTTTCACTTATTTTGTTGTCCTTCTTCCTCCTCAAAATAATTTGAGAAAATCAACATAAATTTCAAGAAGAAAAAAACACTCAAAAATGGCAAGAAATCATATTTTCAATTATCAAATCCTACATTTGGTGGGGGAGGGTCGGGGGTGGTGGTGGGTGGAGAAGAAAATCTAAGTGAGAGAGAGGGGTTGGGGTTTGAGGTGGAGGTGGGTAGTAGAGAAGACAATTTGGGGGTGGTGTGGGTATAATTTTCTTTTTATTAAAAGTGTTTTTTTAAAAAAATTATTTAGTTAAAGAAATGACACATGTCAATGAGTCATTGTTAGTTTTTTTCCTACTCAAGATTCATCATTTAATAAATTTTTTTATATATATATATGCCACGTGTCTTTATTTAATTCGTCACTTTGACACATCATCAGTGAGTGTTTTACACACACCTTACAAATTTGGCAGATTGTCGAAAAAGTGTCAAATTGACACAGTTGGGCGTGACATGAGGTGTCTAAAATGAACAAAGTCCAGTTAAGGTGTCTAAGTGAAAGATCGTGCCAAGTTTAGGGGGCCACCGATGAATTAGCCCAAGAGATCATCATTCAATATCTTATATGGGCACTGTTCATATGGATACCATGTCATTTCAGAATATTTAGTTTTTTTTAGTGGGAATTAGGAACTTTTTTGAATGTTCTCTACATTGAAAAAAATGGTTTTCAGCTTAAAGTTCAGGAAATGATCTCAATTTAAGGATTTTGACTAGATTTTTTTTAAAAAAAAAGGGAAATAAAGTAAGTTTATCCTTTCAGTTTGACTTGTTTTTCACTAGGACTAGTTAGAAATAGGCATGCTTAGCTCAACATCTCATGTAGACATAATTGATGGATTAAATTGTCTTAAGGTACTTCAAATTATGATAGCAAATATGTTGAGGTCATAAGGTGACATTCATATATGTGTAGTCCAAATGGGAGAATGTTAGAATTTTTTATGGACTTACATAAATTCGTGAAGATTTATGTCACTAATTTGGGGTTATACGTAATTTCAAAAGAAAAAGGAAGAAGAGATAACTAATAAATACCATGCCTAAAATTAAGTCAAGAAATACACTAATAAAAGATGTACTTTTAAATTTAAAAACAACTATTAAATAAATAATATAGATATGAATTATAATTTTTTGAAAATTATAAATATGTATAAAAATACATTACGCATTTTTACCTTGCTATGTTATTTATGTGTGATAGGCTATTTATGTCAATTTCAATAGGTGGAAAATAGGTTGAACTTAGACCCATATTCTAAACCTAAAACCCATACCCATATTATGGATTCAATTTACGAAATTAGTGCGACTTTAGTCTTTACATCTTTCTCTTTACAGCTTCGCTTCTCTCTTCACTCAGCGCCCCCCTCTCTGCCCTTCTGATTATCGCAGACAAGAGAAGAAGAAGAAGAAGAAGTTAATAAGCTTCTCACCAGCTCTCCAACCGCAACTGCTCTCTCTCTGGTACTGTTCTTTTTACTTACTTTTTTTTTTTTGCTGAGGTAAGGGGTTTATAGGCCAATTACCTGTTTGGCTGTTTCTAATTGCGTAAGAAGAATTTCATTTAAATTTGACGTGAAAGAGTTGAAGCACCTACCTGTAAGCCAGTGGCGGAACCAAAATTTTTACTTTGTGTGTCAAAATATAAAAAAAGTAGACACGCGTTGGAAACAAAGGAAGTCTACATATAGTATATATATATAACTAAAATTTTGACATAGCTACATAGTGTAATTTTTGGTGAAAGCTGGGGCTCGGCAGAAGAATTCTCAACATTAGCTAAACATATTTGTTTTTGTGTGTGATAAATAAAATGGGCTATTCTGAAATTAAAAAAAATAAATTGTTATATGATTATTAGTTTAGGTAGAGATATTGATGGAGGCTATTAATGATTCTTGTGATATAAGTTCGTGAAAAGGCAAACTTCTGTTGTTATTTGGGATACTTATGTGAAACAGCGTTCGTAACAGTGAGGGAAGGTTAAAGCAAAGAGCAGAATGCAAGATTTGTGGTAAAATTGATATGGCAGGTTGTAAGGTTGGCACTTTAAAATTGAAGCATTATACTTTTAGTTTTGCAGAACATAAAGGAATAGGGACATCCACTTGTATTTAAAATCATACTGTAAAGACCATATCGAGAAATACAGCTAAGTCATATATTTTGAAGGTATGCACAAGGGAAAAAATGTCTGAAAAATGAGCTTAAGCATGAATGCGCTGAACAACCTTGATGTATCTGGCCTTGAAGTTTAAGTTGTTATTTTGGGATTTAGATCGTTGCTGAAATAATTGTTGCAAAGATGTGAAGTCTCCCAGTATGTTACTAAATTAGCTTGAAAAACAGATGGACTTGTATTGGGGCAAACTGCAAAGAGACATGTTTTGAAGTTTGCCAGTATGAGTTGATTTTATGTTCGAATTAGTAATTGGAATGCAGAAAATTAAACAAATAAAAAGATCAAGCACAAAATTTGCTAATAGATACTGAAGCTAAATTAGCTTTACAAAATATAGGTTGACCCATGCAACCCATTTCAACCCGTATTAAATATGGTCTGGTTGGTTTGAACCTATTTTTACTCAACTCATCTTCAACCTGCCCAAACCCATCCCGGCCATTTGTCAGCACTAGTGTATTCTAGTTTTCGCTTTAAAAAGAATTAACTTCCTGAAAATTTAACCGACTTAACTATAAAATCCTTTGGTGCGTAATATAGTTTTAAGTACTATAGATTATAGGAAAGGGTTTTGTTGATTTTTCTTTGTGGTGCAAGTTTTGGATGCAAGCTTCTATACTGTCTGGTAGGTGCTAGCTATGTTATTTGTGAAGGATGCTGACACTTTTTGTTGCATCTCAGCTAAAATGGCTGGTCCCAAACTCGGTAAGAAAGTGGGTTCTAAATTAGGGAAACCCCCAACCAAGAAGAAGCAGAAGAAGGAACCTTTGCCACCTAAGCCACTGGAAAAGGAGGATCTTTTTAGTGACGGTGAAGGAACTGATGGAGATTTTGAAGAAGATGGAGGTTCTCGTGATGAAGAACAACAGGAAATGAACTCAGATTCTGACATGTCTTCTGACTTGGATGACACCTTTGCTGCTGATATATTAGCAAGCGGTGATGCTGGTACTGTCTTTAGTGCATTGGTATTCCAATTTTAGCCATCCATCATGATTGATGACTCACTAAACATTTTTCTTCGCTTTGTCATTTATGTTGCAGACGATGGTTCCAATGTTCATTCGGATTCGGATGTAGATTCTGATTCAGATGCAGATGATACTAATCTTGTAAGGAAGTCAAAAGCTATTGATGATGAAAGGAAAAGAGAGGAGGAGGATGGTGATTTAGAATTGCAGCTCAATATTAAAGAAGAAGCTGATGAGTTCAGACTGCCAACAACTGAGGTTTGCATAATGTTCAAGTTCTTGATTAGAGGTTTTACTTGTCAGATACTCATGCAGGGAAAAATTATGAATGCTAAATATGTCATTTTAACTTTAGGAGCTCGAAGAAGAAACAAATAGACCCCCGGATCTCTCTAATCTCCAAAGGAGGATAAAAGAGAGTGAGTTTCTTTTCCTTCATCTTCCCTTTCTGAATTATCTTTCTTCGGAGGAAGTAAGTTTCTCATTCACATATAATAAAATAAATGCAGTTGTTCGGGTGCTTTCAAATTTCAAGTCATTGAGGCAAGAAGATGTGACACGTAAGGATTATGTTGATCAACTTAAAAGGGACTTGGGTTCATATTATGGATACAATGATTTTCTCATTGAATCGTTAGTGGAGGTAATTCTAAGTCAAAGTAGTCTAGACTCTGCACCTTTTGCGTTTT